AATAAACAATTCCTCAAAACTAATGGAAATAAAAATACAGAATATCAAAACCTTTGGGGCACAGCAAAGGCAATCCTCAGGGTATAGTTCATCACAATACGCAAGTATATGAAAAAAGGAAAAAGGTTTAAAATGAACTCCACATCTTCTGCAAATAGAAGAACAACAAGCTAATCCTATAGCCTCTAGAAGAAAGGAAATCAATGGGACAAAAACCAGGAAAACAGTTGAAATCATCAATAAGACCAGGAGCTCGTTCTTCAAAAGGATCAATAAAACATACAAATCATTGGCAAACATAACAAAACAAAAAAGCACAAAAATAAGTGGAATAAGAAACTAAAGAGGCAACATCACAAAAATAACAACTGAAATGAAAAATATATTAACACTTTCTAAATGGGGGGGGGGGGAAGCATTTGGCAATACCAGTTCAGACAAGGGTCTCATATCCAAACAAAGTTTACAGAATCCTAAGGGCCTCCACAAGAAAAAGAATGATCACACAATTACAAAATGGTCAAAAGACACATGAAAAGAGCTTTCACAGAGGAAGATGTTCAGATAGCCAACAGACATGTGAAAAAAAGCTCAAAATCCCTGGCAATAAGAGAGATGGAAATCAAAACCAAAATGAGACGTCATCTCACTCCAGTAGCAATGGCAAAGTTTAACAGGACAACATGTAATGGTGAAGAGGATGTGGAGAAATAGCAACTATTATACATTATCAGTGTGATTGTAAAATGGTACAAGCACTCTGGAAGGCAGTTTGGCATTTCCTCAAAAACCTGAACATAGAAATTCCATATGACCCAGCCACTCCACTACTTCAAATACACTGCCCTGATAAAATGAGAACTGAGGTACAAACAGAGACTTGTACACCAATGTTTATAGCAGTGTTTTTCACCATAGCAAGAACATGGAAACAGCTCAAATGTGCAACCACAATGGAATGGATTGAGAAATTAATGTACAGTCACACAATAGAATATTATGCAGCACACAGGAGAAATGATTTCATAAATTACTACATAACTGAGGAGGGACTAAAGACAATAGATAACAACAAAACAAAATTCTTAGGAATAAACCTAACCAGATACACAAAAGACCTTTATAAGGAAAACTATAGAACACTACTACAAGAAACAATAAGCATGTTTGATAATTTCCACATTCTGTAGGGTCACTTTTTTTGGAATGGGAATAAGAATAGAACTCTTCCAGTCAGTATCAGCCAATTCTTTTTGGTACAGCGACTCTATGTACTCCTTCCATCTTCTATTAATGCTTCCTGGATCATTCAAAATCCTGCCCATAGCATCTTTTATTTTATTAATTTTAATGAAAGTTTACAGAGACTTAGGGTTTCCAGTCATTCATTGTTGCACTTTTCTCCCTGCCCACTCTCTCCTCCCGCCCAATTCACACTTCTTTTTGAAAAGTAAAAGAAAAACTCTTTCATTGTTGTACAATCTCTCCCCTCAAGTCCACTCCACTGTGTAACCTTCATTCTGGACTCCTGTCATGACAATAATACCCAATCATATATCCCTTTTAAACAGTTTTCTCCCTCATCTGTTTCAATGCAGTATACATCACACATCCCCTCCTTCTCTGTCTTCCCTCAATCCCGATGTTAGTCCTGTTTTACAACAGTGGCCCTATGCAATATTTGTCTTTTTTTTTATTGTATTATTTTTATGTGTACCGTCAAATCAGATCTGACTGGTACAGGAGGAGATTTCCCCGTCCTTCTCCAGCAAAGCATCTGGTAGATTCTAACCGTGTACCTCTGGGATTGAATATTTGTCTTTTTGTGACTGAGATATTTCACTCAACATATTGTCCTCCAGGGTCACCCAATTTGCATCATATTTCATGAGTTCCTTGTTTTTCCAATGCAGCATTAAGTATTTCATTGTGTGAATATACCAGAGCTTCTCTATCCATTCATTTGTTGATGGACACTTGACTTGTTTCCAGCTCTTTGTTATTGTGAACCAAGCTACAATAAACATCAGTGTGCATCTATCTGTTTGGGTGGTGGTTATGGTTTATTTTAGGGTAAATTCCTAGTAGTGGAATTGCTAGGTCAAACGGTATTTCTATCTACAACTTTTTGAGAAAGGGCCATACAGCCTTCCACAGTGGTTGCACCATTTTACACTCCCCCCAACAGTGAAGAAGGGTTCCGGTTTCTCCGTAACCTCACCAGCATTTGATGTTTGCTGTTCTGTTAAATTTTGCTATTTTTACTGGGGTGAGATGATATCTCATAGTTGTTTTGATTTGCATCTCTTTTAGAGCTAAGGATTTTGAACATTTTTTCATGTGCTTTTTGGCCATCTGAACGTCTTCTTTGGTGACGTGTCTGTTCATATCATATCCTGTGCCTATTTTTCAATTGAATTACTTACCTTATCTTCTTGTAGTGCTCAAGTATTTTATAAATTCTAGGTATAAATCCCTTGTCTGACATGTCATTATCAAATCTTTTTTCCCAATCTGTGGCTTCCCTTTTTACCATGTTGGAGTTTTTGGATGTGCATAGGGATTTGATTCTTAGAAGGTCCTATTCATCTATTTTATCCTCTATGGGTTGTAGATGCCCGTAGCATCCTTAAGCATTGCAATTTGAGGCTTGGATATGTTCTTCAGGTCCTTCAATTTAAATGTTGAGCGAGCTTGTCCCTTTGGATTTTTCAGACTCCAGCTCTTTGCAAGTTCATTATACTACTTTGCTTTGCCCTTTGAAATCTTCTGTTCAGCTCAACTTCCTGCGTTCTTCCATTGGCTTTGGCTTCTTGATGCTCTAGTGCAATATTCAAAGTCTTTTCTGAAATCCATGTAAGTCTTTTACTGCACAGGGTTTTGCTAACAGTAGGAGGATTACAAGGAAGAAAAGTGCTCCCACTCAGATTAGTTTCGGAAGCTGTGGACTTTGCAAGCAGGAAAATCCTACAACTACCTTTGCTATCTCAAATCAGGTAATTTGGCCATCCTCCCAGAAACAGTAAGAGACCTAATTAAATGGACAAATATTCCCTGCTCATAGATAAGAAGACAACATTATGTAAATTGCAACCCTACCAAAAGAAACTACATGTTCCACACAATCCCAATGCAGATATCAAACTCATTTTTTCAGGGAGATAAAACAGGCAATCTCCAGTTTTATTTGGAAAGGAAAGAGACCTTGAGTAAGCAAAACTCTTTGGAAAAAATAAAAATGAAGTGCCAGGCATCACACTCCCTGAACTCAAAACCTGCTGCACAGCTGTAGTAAACAAAACATCACAGTCTTGTACAACGACAGACACAGAGAAAAATGGAATAGAATTGAGAACCCAGAAATCAACCCATCTACCTAAGGTCAACTGATATTTGACCAAAAGAAACAAAAGCTATTAAATGGGAAAACAATGGCTTCTTCAACAAATGGTGCTGGCAAAACAGGACGTCTACCTGCAGAAAACTGTAACAGGATCCACATCTCACACCATAAGTAAAAACCAACTAAAGGTAGATCACAAAATAAATAAATAAAAGTGGATTATAGACCTAGGGGTAAAATCCAAAAAACCCTAAGAAATAAAATGGGCACAAAATTAGAAGTTACAGCCTCTGGTATAAATAGGCTTGCAAATATATTTTAAAAATGCAGAACCAGGATAAGATAAAATAGGCGAATATCACCTTCTGAAAAACAAATCCATGTGTGCACCAAACCTTTTATCAAATAGAGAGAATAAAAGTCCTCAGACTTCGCAGACTTCGGCTTTTCAAGGAGAGGAGCGAACTGGGGATGGGGTGGGTGGGGAGAAAAGTGCAACAATGAATGAATGGAATTCCAAAATCTCTGAAGATATTCATTGAAAGTAATTAAAAAAAAGAGTCCACAGCCTTCAGCAGCACGGGGAGAGGAGGAGTGGCATTTGGCAAGGGTCACATAATAATAAATACTACAGAGCCTCCACAATAAAAAGACTGATGATTCAAACACAAAATGGGCAAAAAACATTAAAAAACTCTTAACAAAGGAGGATATTTAACAACACACGTGAAAAAAATAATCAAATTCACTGGCAATCAGAGAGATACAGATCAAAATAATAATGAGATACTACCTCATCCCAATAGAAATAGCAAAGTTTAACAGGACAATAAGCAATAAATGTTGGAGAGGATGGGGAAAGACCAGAACTCTCATGCATTGTTGATGGGATTGTAAAATGGTACAACCACTCTAGAAGGCAGTTTGACATTTCCTCAAAAAACTGAACAGTGAAATCCCATATGACCCAGATATTCCACTCATAGGAATATATCTCAAAGAAATCAGAGCTGAGATACAAACAGAAAATGGAAACAACCTAAATACCCATCAACACATGAATAGAAAAACTATGATATATTCACACAATGAAATGCTATGTAGCACTAAAGAACAAAGTTTTTATAAAATACACAACATGAGAGAGTCTAGAGAGCATTATGCTGAGTGAAAGAATTCAGTCACCAAAGGATAAATATTTCATAAGACCTCTACTGGGACAACAGGAAGATAAATGAGGGGTGAAGGGAGAAGAGGAAGAATAGAAATGTGATAAGGAGACACGTAATATACTACAAGAACCAAGACAAAGAAGATCAACATGGGAAGAATCAAAATAAGGACAATACAGTTATTGCAATTAGCAAATAGGGACACAATATATATAAACGTTTAAAAAGAAAGGGAAGAAGGTGTGTTTAAGAAGGAAGAGAAAATCACCAAGACAGCAAAGATTAGTAGGAGACTGAGGAGTGATGAAAAGTACAAAGTGGACTTGAGGAGAAGGGGAGATAAAAGTAACAGATCAATTGTTACATGCCGTGAAGTCAGAACTGATTCATGGCTAATCCTCCAGTGAATTTTCAAAGACAGTTAATGGTACAGGAGGAGATTGTCCACGTACCCTGAAATTGCCATCTGTGAAGTAGGCAGCCCTTTACTGATCAGTAGGAAGTTGTTTAAAGGGCACTGTCCATGTGGCAATGGGCTCTGGCAGTGTCTCCGGAGGTTCCAGGGTAGGACCAAGGCGAAAAGAGCCGACTTGCTTGTGGCTATGGTGAGTGCCTCCCTGTATTCCCCCAATAGCTTGTTCCTGGATGAACCATTTCCGTTTATCACAGAACTGGTTTGGCCATCACCTTCTTTATTAGAGTCTCTCCAGCATCGCACATGACATGATATGTATTTCAGGCCTCATAACAAGCGAATGTCCTTCTGTCACTGAAGCAGTATCAACCGACGCCCAACAGCATGCAAGTGGTTTTCTTTCAGATAGCATGTATCATGCATCAGGAAATTTCCTTGTCCAGGATCCTAGTGGTCACCACAGGGAAGCCTTTTCAGATTTTTGCCATAAGTTCCTATCTGCATAAGCATAAGTAGCAGGTACCTCGAGAATCATGTCTGAATGTGGATCATAAGGTCCTAAAAGCAAAGAGAGTAAGACTGCTTTCTGTATTTCAGCCATAGCTTACCATTTCTCAGATCCCCATTCAAGCAAAGTTTTCTTCTGAATAATTTCACAGATGAAAGCTAACAATATTCCAAGGTGTAGGCCAATCAAATTTTGAGCATCCTATTTAGTCTTTGAAGTAGGTAGTGACAGCAGCTTTTTCTTGGTTGCCTGTGGAATGTCATGAATGCCTCCTTCCCATATTATTCCTAAGAAATTTTAGTATTTGGGCAAGGCCCTGGATCTTTGCTGAATCAAACTCTGTTGGTCACATGGGCAACCACTGTTTTCAAATCATCCCTACCCTGCTCTTCAGTATTTGATATTAACAGGATAGCATCAATGTAATATATACTGGATATTTGGACCAAGCGCAAGTCTCTTCTAACCAAATTAGGGCAGTAGGCTGGTAAGTTCACATAACCTTGTGGTAAATCTGCAAATGTAAATGGAATCCTTCCCACGTGAAAGCAAATGGTGGCTGGCTCTTTTTGGAGACTAGAATGGAGAAAAAAAGCATTTGCAAGATCTATCACCCACCAAGTACCTGCCTCCTGTATTTTCTACACCAATGAAACCATATCTGCTGAAGCCACAGGTTGCACTACTTTATGTAGCCCTTAATAGTCTACAGTTAACCTTTGACTTTTTTAAAGGCCACATAGGATTGTTAAATAGAGAATCTGTTGGCACCAACACCCAAGCCTTTAGCATGTTTTTAATCAAGGCAGTTATTTCTTTTATCCACCAGGAATCCTATATTGCTTCAAATTAACAACCTCATTGGGCTCAGGCAATTCTAATGGTTGCCATTTAGCATGTCTTATCAACACTGGCCTCAGGGCAGACTTAAAAGTC